CGTATGATTTCATAAATAAAAAGAATTAACTCGGTATTATCCCCAAATTAAATAATCCTAACCACTAAGAAGTAAGCCGTCGGGAAGAACAATGAATTGAGTACCAACGATAAAATGATCATAGAAGGAGCGCCAAGCACATCCCGCTTTTCCCTATAATATCTACTTGGAGAAATTGGATGAGAAATGGTCAAGAGCTACAAAGAAGTGTTGTCTTCCCGAAAATACATAATTTTAAATTTCTCCATGTATAAAACGAGTTATATAATTCTTCATATTTCATATCTTGTTTGTTTTACAGATTAAAACGTTTCTGGATTAAGAAAAAAATTTAAATATTCGGATAGTTTACTGCATAGCACATCTGTATGCCAAGTATTTGCTGATATTAGCCATCTAATCAGTTGCAGATTAAAAAAAAATGACTTAATTCCAACTTTCACCGTATCAAATCCAATGTTTGTTATATCAATCTAAACCAATACTTTTCAATATTCGTAAGTTCCATCTAAAAGCCTTTCGCCAGGTGATCAAGTGATTAAGTGAAGAATATTTCTTACATGCTAACCAATATTTGCAAAAATTACAGCTCCAACAACATTCAACATTCCTAAATTCCTCCATTAAACACACTGTCCTAGTTCATGACATCTTGAATATTCAGCTTGATAATTTCCAAAACCAAATCAATATATTTTTATCATAGTGAACCCTATTTTCCTGTAGGCATAGAATATTTCTAATTCCATTTCTGATCATATATTTGATTACTACCTGAAATAAGAACTTTGGGAATTACATTCAGTCAGAAAATGTGCTTTCCAAACTTTAGGCTGCTAAGCGCACTAACAAAATTGATCACTTGAATGTGTCATTTACCACCTTGTGTTATGAATGAACTGAGTAATTCACTTTCGTGTTTTAAAAAAACCAATATAAAATTAATTTTTTCACAAAGTGAAAAATTTTCAAAAAAAATATTTAAGTAAAATTCGGATATTTTCTTATTCAAAAATATCCGAATAAACATTGTGATAACAACTAACAATCATATAATAACGAACACTGGATTAAAGCTCCCTGATTTGCAAAAACAACAGTATTTAAATAGAAGTGGAACCCAATAAAACGTGAATTCAGCAACTCTAATTCTCCATCAGTAATTATTGGAACCAAATATCTGTTCGCATCACAAAAAAGTAACCATTCATAACAAAAATTTTAAAGTACCAGAATGGAAGCTGAAATTCAAAAAAAAATACAATTTTAAACGGAAAAAAATTAGATTTCTATCATGTTGCTGCAGTCATCAACTCTTAATATTATCATCATTTTCAGCCTTATCAACTTCGCAAGCAGTTTTTTCCGAATTTATACTGCTATTGATTATTTTTTTTTCCTGCATCTTTGATGAAACATCCAAAGAATCCTGTCCTTCTTCTTGTTTCTCTTGTAAACAACTAGAACGATTTAAAAATCCACGATATTTTTCATCATATTCCTTCTTCATTTGCCTAATTTTTTCACGATCTTCCTCTCCTGCCAGTCCAGCTTTTTTATCAATATAATCACTCTCAGGTAATCCATACAGCTCTTCCAGAGTAATTAGCGTAGACCAATGTGGATATTTTCGTCGACCGCTTAGCGACACATCTTTTGTCACATCCTGTTTTGCACTGAAATTTAATTACACTTCATTTCTATAATTTGAAAACAAGTAATTTCAAATTAGACATTGCATACCAAGCTATGATATCCTTGACATACTTCTCAGGATCAAATGTTTTATAATCCTCCAGCATTTTGTGCATACGATATCGGAACAGATTTTCCGCCTGTAATATTAAAGGCACATTGCAAATGAATATCAATGAATCAAATTTATTCAAAAACAGATGTATTATTTGATAAGCAAAACAAATGACTTGGATGATTACTATCAACTTTTTCTTTTCACCTCTCTTTCTTTTGACTGACTATAAAATATTTTTTGTGTAGTACAGTCCGAAAAATTCAATCTGCCATTTTAGATTGAGTCCTCTAAACGGAATAGGTTGAATCTGAAATAGCGGACTGAATTTTAATTTCAGGGAAGATATTATTATATCTTCTTTGAAAACATGACAAAAATCATTTCATTACTTTGGCTTTTTTTTGCCGATGATATTTTTGATATTTAAAATAATCTCGATCATAGCGTTTTCGACGCTTATGTTTCCTCATCTTATGCCTGCGGATTTTCAACATACGTTCTCCAGTAAATAACTTTAACACCTGCGACTGTTGAGGTAATCGTAAAGGTACCTAAAATAAGAAGAAAATCAAGCCTAAGTTTTTTTCTTTGTTTTCTTTAAAAAAAGCCTAAATAGTGCTTTTTTTACAATCTAGCGAAAAAAAACATCGCTTGCTTGAAACTAAAATAAAATAAAGAAACTACTCTAAAAAACGAAAAATAAAACAAAAACAAAAATACATGCCTGGAATGACGGGAAAGGATCGAATTTCTTCAAAAGCTCATTTACCAATATACTAGGTACAGCGATGCGCTGTCGATTTGTACCTGGGAAAGTGAACACCTGAAAAACAAAACTGTATAACGACGAAAGATTTGACGAATACTTCATAAAATATGTCATTTCCATTGTTTAATGACCGCACTTTGATAAGAGGTTCATTTACCGCATTCTAATGAAAAGTTCATTCATTTTTAAGAAAACAAAAAGTTTTTAGATTTCACCTTCGGGTAATATAATCCTTATGAACATAATGGGAATCGGAAGTGTCACGCAAGAAATCTATGGATTTATAAAAAAATAACTGTCCGAATTCTTGAAGAATAACAAACCATCTCTTTTTGCTTATTTGGCAGTTGCCAAGGCAATTTTTGTAAGACCGGATTGACAGAGATTTTCAGTTTACCCGTTTCAGGATTCTGATAAGGCAGTGATAGCTGATGGTACATCCCGGTCAGTTTTATCATTCGATCCTTTCCTAAAATGAAGTGGACAAGCTTTGACTTTTCCCACTTAACCGAAAAACTGCGATTGTAAAGGAAACTAGGGAAAGGTAGATTGCTAGAATTTCCATAAATTGGATCAAAGTTTGATGTAAATGCCCCAGACGCCGTCAACTTTCTTTTCCAAAAATGATTTTGCTCCTCAAACTTATTTGCTCAACACGTCAACTCAAGAGAATGTGTGCTTAATGTTCACAGCTGATAATAATTTTATATACTACTGAATAAGAAGGAATATCTTATAGAATTTTCACAAATCTTAATAAACAATGAAGATACCATTGAAGCCGGTGCTTCTAAAAGCAAGTTGTGAAAAATGTTTTTCAAACATGCTCCGGAAAATATTCATCCCGTGAAGCTCCAATTCACATCAGTCAAATCTCACGTTTACTGGGTAAGGCAGATTAGTAGGCCCATTGTCGCTTAAAATCACACAAATTCAAGTGCTTTAATCAGCGTTTAACTCATCAACATAAGCCTCTGAATGCGAAAATGGTGAAAAAGAAATGTCATATCAATCTTATCGACAATCAAATAACTTTAACATGAAATCAATATTCTCATTAATATTGATATTTAATCTCACAAAAGAAAGAAATGAGTAACAAAAGCAAACCATGCAAAAAGAATTCCTGATGCAATTTGATTGCAATACAACAAAGATTTATCACATTATCATTTATCACATTTCAAAACTTTATAAATCCCGATATCATCAAAAACGACGTAACACATGTCCTGTATCAAAAAAACAGAAACAGAAACAAAAAAAAACTGTGAAATTATATTGCAAAATCGCTAAAATATGTCAGATGCTTGTGAATGTTTTAAATGCGTCGATATTAGAAAGTTTTCAAATTTACTAAGATTTTTTTAAGAAAAAAAGTGAAATTGAAATCACAATTCGAAGCAGCAAATTGATTTAAAATTTCGACAGACAAAGGAACGACTCATACAGCCATATAATTCAATCGTTTGATCAATTCATCACCATTTTGTTCAGATAAAACTAATTCATAACGGACCAACTTTATATTTTAGGAATGAAATTGCTATATCCTGATGCTTTTTTTTTTTTAAATTATGAATTTTAAACAATTCATCTTCCAATACAATCAGAAAGTATTCCCTTTATTTCAAAGTATTGTGTGTGTATATTTTTGAAAAATTCGACAAAATAAATGTTAATATTTAAAAAAATTGAAAAAACTTGAAAAGAAAAAGATCCTTCAACATATTTTAAAACAATATGATTAAACAAATGAAAATAAAACAACAACAAAATAAAGTTGTATAATAGGTGAGAAGAGAGGATTCTACGGATAGTATCCATTCTTCCTGATTGCTGGTGATATTGGAAGTGGTCGATGATGTTTCAAATCATATGCCTTTATCAGTTCATATTTCTCAATTCTTTTTGTATCATATGGATCATGAAGTTTTGATTTTTCTCGATCAATACTTTCCTCATCACCATTATCATTTTGTTTTCGCTTGTTCACTCTTTCATTACCATTACTGATGTCATAACCAATTGGATTATTACCGGTACCTTTTATTGGTTCATTACTGTAGTAACGTGGTATATCTATACCTTCATATTCCGTAATTTCCTCTTCATCTGGTTTCAAGCCTTGTGCGATTTTACTGCTCATATCATAATATTCAGCAGGATTTTCTGACTGTGATAATTCTTTCGGTGGTGAACAATGATCACAATTACCTGTTAAATTGTAAAATTTAACTTTTCAACTAAAACTGTATTATGATGTAATGAAAAGTTTGCAAACAGACGATATGAAAAATAAAGAGGAACCTTTGTATCCTTGTGGCCCGGGAGGTCCTGGTGGTCCTCGTAATCCTGGCACGCCATTTTCTCCTCTTTCACCTTGCTCTCCGCGCATTCCTACCATACCGGCCGCTCCGGTACTGCCATCCCTGAAAGTTTATTGCTTGAATAATTTTTTTTTCTAAGTTCCACAGAAGAAATACTTCCTCGCACAAAAAAAAAAAAAAACATAAAAATGATCCCCACTCACCGTCCAGGACTTCCGATACGGCCTCGCGGTCCAATAGGTCCTGCAAATACCTTTATATTTAAGCTGAAAACAATAGAATACTTTTTCATGAGATTGCGAAGATTAGATATTTAATTAGCTAAAAATTACCTGGAGGGCCGCTTGGTCCGGCATGTGCTCCGTTGAGAATGCGCCCGGAATCACCTGGTGGTCCTTTTGGTCCGTATGGCCCGGGAGGACCTCGAACACCTGTTGGTCCTGGTGGTCCTTTTCTTCCCAGAGGACCGTCATCTCCAGGCACGCCTGGGTTTCTGAAGTTTTAAAATTATGCTTTACTCAATAAACTGATTTATGCGAATTCTAATTCTTCATTATTGACTTAATCAAATACCTTATCTGTTATTATGGTACAAATAGTAGCACAACGTATTAATGTGTGATATGAAAAGCTCAACAACTCCACTCATTAAACAATGGTCAATTTTACCGGTGATTCTAACGAGGAAGTAAAAAAAATTTGTTTGAACGCTTACCCGCGTGGTCCTCTCGGTCCTCTTTGACCGTGTAATCCCGGAGGTCCTGGTGGAGCTGTTGGACACTAAATAAATTATTATTTATCATATAATCAAGAATAAAAAAAAATTAAATTAATCAAAAATATATTACAGTGAAGCTGTAACGATCGTTCAATAAATAATCAGCATTAAAATTTTTCGGTACATCAAAGAAATACCGTAAAATCTTTCAAATAATTGCTATTCAAAACACTTCATCACATTTCAAATAGTCAAAAAAAAGTTTCACGAAGATCAACAAAAAAATAATAATACCTTCTGACAAGTGTTTTCACCACCTTTTGGTGGAATCATATGTAGCCCAGGTCTACCATCTTTTCCCGGTAATCCTGGTGGCCCATCGATTCCTGAAAAAAAAAATCATTGTCACAAGGGCTTTCAGACTCGTTACCTTATAGAATAATGGAATACAAAAAATGTTAGATTGATCAATGATAGGCATTCTACTAAAATCTTACCATCTCGTCCAGGATTTCCTGGAATACCAGGAGGTCCCGGTTTGCCCTGTTGACAGCTGCAACCTGGAATTATCTCTCTTCAAATTCATATAAGATGAAAGTAAAAAAGTACTTAAAAATTTAACAATTGCTATGCTATGAAACAGGAGATTTTTAAACAGTGTTTTAGATAAATTAAAAGATCTTATGGATTTTTGAAATTTATAATTAAAAAATGATGGTAAACATATTTTTGTCTCTTACAGATCGATGTCACTTTAGACCGAAAGATTGTACTGAATAGTACTGCTTTTGTAAAAAAATATTTTTCAACTTCATCATTTAAAATTTCTTGTTAAAAAAATTTTCTTGTCTCATTAAAATGCACCTTTTAGAGCATATTGAAATGTAATTTAAAAGCTTATTGCATTTTTTTCTAGGAATCATTTTAATACTATTTAATATTATTTAAAACAAAATGGTGCAATTTAAATATTATTTAAGGCAAAATTGATATTTGTAATTAATTTTGAAATCTAAGCTGATTTTTCTTTCAGAAAAATTATCAAAAAAAAAAAATAACATGTGGAACGCGGTTGTTCATTTGTTGATTCATCGAATCGACGTTTTCGCGATTGAGTGCTAAATTTAATTTGCAATACACTCCTCCAAACATCATTGCTATTAATCTAAAAATTAAATTTGCAATTAAACTCATTTAGTGAAATGATGCAATTAATGAAATTTCATTATTTTGGATTTTCGTAACAATTAATAAAACTTCTTTATTTTGAATTTTCGTAATTAAACGAATTATTTGATTTCATTATTTGTTTGCTCTAAATTATCAGATAGATAAAATATATTTCTAATAAATGATATTTTTAGTATCAGTGTATCGATTGAATAGCATAAAACTTCCATCAATATTCTATCATTTTGAATTTTTGCAATACCGCGGAAAACTATTTGGTCAAATAAATTAATAATTTTATTACACTTTTATCTATTTTTTTTTTTCAATCAGATAAATCAAAATTTTTACTTACATAGCATTTGTAAAGCTCTGAAAGTAATGCAGTGTTGGAGCGTTGAATGTAGTGAAAAAATGATGGCAAAATGATGATAATTAGGAGTAATGAAATGGTTGAAAATAAAGTGGAAAGAATGGTCATCAGACGTGATGGCTCCATGATGGCGATTATTTGCTATGTGAAATTTATCATCAAATTTATGATATTGATAGATGCAACAGTAGCAAATTTGCCAGCATTCATACGGCTGATGATTATACCGATATGTCGTCAGTCAATATAACGGTGATAAATGCATGCATTCAGTCAAGTATTTTAGATATATTAAATTTAAAATTGATATTGTCCTAATTTTGCGCATACAGTGTTTACCTTTCCGTTACACAACAGATCATTTTATAATTTACAGAAGAAGAAGAGAATGAAAGAGAGATGAAATTATAATTCTTGTATGGGTTATTTTAACTTCCTCTTTTCTTAATGATTAAAAAGGAAAATTTGCACATGGGATAAATATTAATGTTATCCTTTTGTCATTTGTCGCTTCGTTTAATAAGTTTTGAAGTATTAATTTTAATTTGTATTTCAATGCTGTAATATGTTATTCAAAGAAACTGGCGAAATTTTGGTTCCTTAATTTGAATCTTTTTTTTAAAATTAATCTATAGAATTTAAATTTTAGTAAGATATTTAATAATGTAATTCTTGAAAAATTGAATAAATTTTAGGTTTCTATTTGTTAATTTTTGTACTGCTTACAAAAATGGATGAAGGAAATTTAGTAAAGTAGATATTTTAAAGAAAAAAACAGCTTTATAATTATGTTAAATAATCGCCACTTACAACATCTTCAGGAAATTTTATTTTAATTAATGATTAATAATTATGCTTTGATAATAAAATAAATGGAACATAATTGAAATAAAAAATTAAAAAATAAAAAAGCATATAAACATATTTTGTACATATTCCCCGCATTGTTTTATTGTTTGAAAAGCATATATATAATTATAATTATAATATGAAAAGGATTGCATTTCTTTTTTTCCATCAAAAATGCAGTGTGATTCAAAATTAAAAAGCTCAAGCAATTATGCTTTTTATCACATAATAAATTTCTGCCTGCAGCAAGCTAATATGATAATATGCTTAAGTTTAACTTTTCTGAACATAATTAACTCTTTTTTTATTGGAAATCACATAATAAATAAATTTTGCAACAAATCTGACAATTCTTTACAAACATTATCGAGAGCATTTTTTAATCTTAATACTTCCCATTTCACTCGTTTGTTAAATGAATGTGTAGATATGATAAGAAAAGATTTAATCAAATCGATAATTTAAACTATTACTATCAAATAATGAGCAGAATTTGCATAATACATTAATATTCACTTCGTTTAACTCGCAAAATATGTTGCACACATATTCAATGATATAGTTTTGCTTATAGATAAGAATAATAAAGTTAATAAGTACCGACGTATTCAATCATATATAATATAATGAACAAAATTTGATTTCAGTATTATTCACAGAAAAAAACTTTCATCAAAATGCGCTAATGTTTTTAATTTTTTGAAAGACAATGCGAAATCCGTTACTGATAATGATAAGATGATATCCTTCCTTCTCTTTACATCAATAATTTACAAAAAGAAAAAAAACAGATCCCAGAAATGTCAAGAAAGAAGTGATAACTGATGATAAGTACTTCATTAATCAGTGATACTATTTATAGGCATTAATTATTTAATAAAGCTATTGCTAGAAATTTAACATTCATCTGGCTATTACTTGTTATATCGTTGGGGCTGAGTAAGTTATAGTGGCAAATAAACTTTCAGTCATATATTTTCATACTGCTGATCGATATTATCATATCATCATAGCAATGAAGAGATATAAATGATTAAATTAAAATAACAAATGACAAGTAATCGATAAAACAAAATTAACTAATCATTAATTGAACGATCACTAATTACGTTATGCAATGATCTTAAGCGTGATTTAAATTTTGAAATAGAAATGAAAAATATGATACTGAAAATCGATTAGTACTGTGATAATGACTCAAATCTGCATTTCTTTAACTTCAATTATTCTTCAAATTCTCACACCAAACATATACGTTTTCCAATTCAAATATTAAATATGTAAAAAGAAGGAAGTATACTTGGAAATTTTCAAAACAATTTCATCTATTTCAAATCTAATTATAAAAAAATGAAAATTAATAAATATGGACACTTCTAATTTCACCGCAAAAAAAAAAATAAGAATTATTTCATTCAATTCGTTAAAATTATTGAATGCTATAAATGAATATCAATTTATCATGTATTAATTAAATATTTCAAATAACTTTCAATTGAAATTGTAAAATTCATTCGAACTAATCAATAATTCCTACTTTCACCTATTCCTAATCCTTTCAAATATGATAAAATCAGTCAACAATTTTAATCCTTAATTTAATAAGGATGAAATAAGTGCATGCTCAACATTTAATACTTGACAAAAGGAACAGTGAAACGACCTAAATGATATATGGAATCAATGAAAGTAGGTAAATGCTGAATAGGCTCATCCATTGATTGTATAAATCGACCGAAAATCCGATACAAAAAAATGAGGAAATCATAAACTAATTTTTGACTGAAATGACTTTCAACTTGTGAAAAACATGAAGCAAGTACACCATCTGCTAAAATTGATCCTTCGACAGTCATCGGTGAATAAATACCTTTCAGATATTGTCTACCAATCTGAAAACATCATTCTTTAACATATTAATCAATCAATAATTGATATTTTTAACTATTACTTTAGTATCATCTACATGATATAGTAACTTAAAAAAATAGAAATAATAGTATTAAATTATAACTGTGAAATAAAAATGACCTATACCTTTACGATACGATCCACCTGTAATTGATGATTTGATGATATAGTGAATACACAATCACCCGTACGTGCCTTATATGCAAATTTTGACTTCCGAAGCCATTGATCAACGATATCATCAACGATATCAGCAGTATCAGATATACTTTCATGCATTTGCTTGCAATCACCTAATGGAAGAAGATGTAACTCTGTTAGACTTAATTTTCGTCCTGATTCCGTCTCTAATACAACAAATTTAGCTCGAGTTTCCGGTTCTCGATGATAAAACATTTCCACTCGTTCATATCTTAATTGATTTTTACTTATCGGTACAAGAACCTGCAAAATATATACACATTTTTGAATTTACAAAAATAACATGAACAAAATTAAAAGCAATAAACAGAGAAAATCTCGAAAAGATTTTTTTTTTTTTTTATAGCAGTGAACTTACAAAATCGCCCACTGAAACGTCCTTCATTGTTTTTTCACCATTTTGTGTGTAAACTTTTGTATCGGCACTGAAACAATTCATTGGCGGCGTAGAATTGTCATCAACTTGTAACTCACGATGCTTTTTCGGAGCTGGATGTTGATCATGACCTATTTGACCTCTAGAAGTTGAACCTTTTGATGGTATTTGTGATTGCGCATTTTCAGATTTTGATTTATCATTTAATTCATGATGTTCCTTTTTTTCTTGCCTATTTTTTTGTTCTTTAGCGGATGTTTCTTGGATCGAATCAGGTGCCTAAAAATAAAAAGAGATTATTCAGCTTTCCATTTTCGAATTGCAATTATCGATTTTAATTTCCGATATTTTCCAATTAAGTTTCAAAAAAAAAAGAAAGAGAAATGTAACTATTGAAAAAGCCAATTAATGCGAAACCTTTTTAGACTGTTTAGAATTGTCATTTTTATGAGCAGCCGTTTGATTTGCTGGTACCTTTAATCTTTCTGCAATATTTCATGTTTTTTTTTTAGTTTGTATTAAAAAATATCATAATCATTCACTCTATAATTCTGAATTTTTAGATTAATTTCATGATATCTGTGAAGATCATTTTTGAAAAAAAAAAATTATTTCCTAAATTACTTCAATTTTACTCAAAATTAAAAAATCAATGGTGCAATTAAAAAAATTGCTGCGAAAAAAAAATTTTTCTTTTTTTTTGCATCCTTCCGAAAGATTACAATGTTCAGTGATCCATCTTGAATATTGCTTCCCCAAAAAAGATTTAACTTACTGTAAGTGTAATCTTAAATGATAAAATGTTGCACCAATCAATCAAAGTTAATTTATGAAGATGAAGAATCGTAGAAGACGGCAATTAGCGCATAAAATAGATTTTGAACTCGGAAAATATTAATATAAAAGATGCAATAAAAAGAAAATAGTAAAATTTGAAAAAATAATTTAAATTTGAAAAAAAGTCTTAAAATCAGATCTTTTATAAGGAACACATTATCATTACTAGCCTTATTAAAATAAAACTGTAAGCATATATTTTGGCTGACTTAAAATTTTTTTATGTTAAAAATTTCTGTTTTGAAAATCTTAAATTTAATTCAATTAAAAAAACAAGCAATTATTGCATGTAATTTAGAATTTAACTTATAACTGGTAACATGGAATTTTTAATTCATAGGAAGGAATACTTTCACTTCAAAGTGAATATTTGTAAATAGCGCAAAATAGAAAACTCAAAAATATAAAATGAATGTGATTACTTTGATAGCTTAAAAGTTGTAATTAATACCTTTGCGTAATTTCGTTTTTGTTATCACATTTTTTTCCACTTTTCTACCCTTTTTCTTGACTAACATCTGCAAAATTGTTGAGACCGAAAAAATGTCAAAACGACAAATGGTGGACTGAATTACAAAAAAAAAAAAAATTGACTTAAAAACCGATAAGTGATATAATAGTACAATAATCTACATGAAAACATTTATTTAAAGTTCATATCTGTCTAATATGGTATCAAATTTGAGATAATTATTCAGATAATGAAAATGATCAATGAAATGAAAAAGCAATTGTAAGGAGCTTATAAAAATTTAGCCATGAAGCTGAAAATAATAAAGTTAGTAAAATTGGAACTATCGGAAGCGTAGTGATTGAATTACAGATCACTCATTCTTTAGTTTTGTCTAATAATTTAAAAAAAAAAAAAATTTCTCTAAATTCAAATTTCTGAAAATACGTGCATATCTATTCAAATAATTATTTCTCTGTTTTTTTCGCATGTGAAAAAGAAAATTTTTTTTAACTTACTGTCATTTTTTTAGCATCAGTAACGTTGCCGGCAGCACTATGACGATCTCGATCTTCTTTTCTGGTTGAGAGTTTGGGAGAGGTTGTCGCATAACTTGTTTGAGTTATCAAATTATCTTTATCGCCTATATTTATAAAACACTATAAATCTTTGTAATTTTATGGAATAATTTAAAAAAAAGAAAAGAGAGAAAGAGAACAAGAATCGATTGAGCTGTTTAAATAAAACAAAAAAAAAAAAATTTATCGTTTACAGCTAACTTTATGATAATAATTTTCTCGACGTAGCAAATGCTGTGCGAGTGTTATTTTTATTTTATCAATTTTTCAAGTTATCAATGTAACTAGAAAAATTTTTTAAAAATGTTGCATTTAAAAAAAAAAAAAAACCTATTTCTGTTGTGTTGGAATTATCTTTTGTTTCATTTGCAGCATGTCTCGATTGATTAGCAAATAAATCCTCCTTCCATTTTGTCCCATTTATTTTATGAGAATTTGATTTAGATTTCAAATTTTTCATATTATTCAATTCAGTAGCCTGTTGCTCTTCAGGCAGTAATCCTTTTCTACTAATGTTACTGCTGGATTTCTCGAAATGTCTTTTTAATTTTCCTTCTTTTTGTGTAACATTCTTTTTATCCATTTCTTCTTCACTACTGCTATATTCGCCATCATCACAATCATTCGAATCTTTCTCTTTCTTACTTGGACGATGATTTTTCTCTGATCCATGAATGAACGTTTTATTCTCTTCTAATTTTTCTTGACCTGAAAATAGATCAAATATCCGGTTTATTTCTAATTATTTATCCAATCATCAACTATAATTCTAATTTGCCACACTTCAATTTTATCATTTAGAGCAAAAAAAGAATTAATTAATTACCATCTTGTTGTTTAACAATAAGTCTTAAAAGTAATCCTCATGCATCAAAGACCAAATTGGCAAATTTGACTCAATGATAAACTCAAACATGGATTCCTTATAATGAAATACAGTACCATATTGTATGAATATGTAAATTAGAAAAATATTTCTTTAATAGTAAATTGAACATCTCAAACATTAATTTCGGTGAAATTAATAAATTAACCTTACGCTCAATTGATATTTACCATCACTATTTCTTCTAAAAATCGTTTACCTTACTTTTACTTAATTACTTACCTTTTCCAGTAGCAATTTTCGTTTCATTATCGGACATGCGATATCGATGATCGCTTCCTTTTGTCCTATCTAAATCATCAAATCCAATCCTCCGCTGAATGGTCCATTCTGACCAACTAAAATTATGCAAATATAACTTTCCTTCATAAATATGAAATTACTTATGAATCATTCAATCTTATCGCAATTTGGTGATATTTAGTTGTAATAATTTGCTATCGGACAAGTAACATTTAGCAGAGCCAAGATAGATGTAGCTAATAAGCTCAGCAAGATGAGTTAGCAAAATATTGTCTAATAAGCAAGATAGGTTTAGCTAGTAGTGCAAGATAGTCAATAGATCAAGGAAAGTGCATGCTACCGTCTGATTATAAATCATCACGAAAATATACAGAAATCATGTAATTTTCAATTCAAAACTTTTAGATTTAAACAAATTTGGAAATTGGATCATAAACTTATTGGAATGTTTATTTTTTAATCATCCGCTTGTTCAATCAATCATTTTCATATATGACATTTATTATAAATGTAATTATGCAAAGGAAAAGAAAATATATATGAAAATAATTCCTGTTAAATATTTTTTTAAACATTAAGCATCTTTATTAGTTAGCAACGATGCAAATTTTGAATTGATATATTAGTAAATCAATTTTGAAATTAACATCAAAAATAAATTTGGTAAATAAAATTTAATTGTTTTTAACGCTGAAATCGATTATACAAAGCATATTTCATTATTTGGATTGGAAAAAAAAACAGCCACAAAATATATAAAATAGTTTAACTTACTGTTTATAGGACCATTCTGCCCAAGTGGCAAATATCCATTGTCCATCATCGGTCAAATTTTGTAATGTAAGCTTTATTTGATTCAAATTACTATCATTGATAACTGACTCCTTTTTATTCAAATCTACATGATCTTTATCATGAATCACTCTTGTCACCTTTTCAGTATCCTTTTCGCACTGTACACTACAAATGGTGACCCGATAGCCAACCCTAAATATACTCAATTGTTTTAAATTTTGAAAATTAAAATTTACTTATGATTAGTATTAGCAATGTGTTAATGAGAAAAATATAAAAAAT